GCAGGGGTGGGAGTGGCACACAGAGGGCAAGAGCATCTTTTCCTAAACAGAAGGCAGTATACTAAGAATCCTTAAGGATAATCCTATTTTCATCAAGGCTCACTGCAGGGGTGGGAGTGGCACACAGAGGGCAAGAGCATCTTTTCCTAAACAGATGGCAGTATACTAAGAATCCTTAAGGATAATCCTATTTTCATCAAGGCTCATGACAGAAAGCTATCCTAAAGAATGGATAAAGGCATGCTATTTCCCAAGGAGGAATCTCTGTGACAACCTTAGACGTAAGAAGAATCTTATTGTGACAACCTTAGACATTAGAATAATCTTTCAGAAGATTATTGGAATAAGGATGCATGGAGCTAGCCTCACATGGTGGGGCGCATCTACAATCCTAGGAGAGGCCTTGGCAAGAGGATTGCCAATTTGAGGCCAGCCTGACATCGCAGTGAGACCTCATCTCAAAAGTAGACAGGGAGGGGAAAGAGAATAGAATGAATATTCATGGCACTAAAAGTGAAAAGGCATTCAAATTGGAAAGGAAGTGAAATTACCTGGTCATAGATGACATAATTAAAAAAAAAAAACCTCTAATTTATTTTTTACTCTTACAATTATTTTATTTTTATTTTATGTGTATGAGTGCACTGCCTGCATGTATGCCCCCATGTCATGAAATGTCAGCGGAGGTTAGAAGAGGGTGCTGGATTCCCCTTGAACTGGAGTTTGCTATGGATGGTTGCTAGCCACCATGTGGGTGCTAGGAATCAAACTTGGGTCCTCTGCAAGAGCAGCTTGTGCTCTTAACCACTGAGCCATCTCTCCAGCCCTTTTAGATGATGTAATTTAATATCATAGAACACCTTAAGTATTATACACATACACATGAACAAATGAATTCAACAAAATAAGACATCAAACAAAAATCAGTTTTTATACCTTAATAATCATAATGTAAATAAAAGAAGTCCATTAAATAGCATGAAAGGAGTTAAGATTTGCAAAACCTATAAAACAATGCTGAAAGAAATCAATTAGTAAATATGGAAAGACATCCCATCCCATGTATTAGTCAGGGTTCTCTAAAGAAACAGCAATAGGGTAAGCCGACTGTATTAGTCAGGGTTCTCCAAAGAAACAGAACAAGTAGAATGACTATATATGTTTAGAGATTTATCAGCTTAGCTCACAGGACAGAGTCCAACAATGGCTGCACCACACTGGAGAGGTTGAGAATCCATAGTTGCTCAGTCCACGAGGCTGGATATCTCAGTAGTCCCAATCTGGCTCTGAAGGTCTGACGAATTCCAAAAGATCAGCTAGTCTTCAGTCTACACAGCAGCAAGACGAACTCACCAGAGAGAGAGAAGGCAAGCAGCAAGAAGTCCAGCGTTCTCCTCTGCCGTGGCCTTTTATACAGGCTGCCATCAGAAGGTAACACCCACATTTAGGGTGTGTCTTCCAGCTTCAGATGATCTAATTAAGAAAGTCTCTCTCATTTCAGTTAATCCCAGATCCAGTCAAGTTGGCACCCAGGATTAGCCATCACATCCCATGTTCCTCACAAGACTTACTATTGCTAAGATGCCACTATTACTCAAAGTAACACACAGATTTGATGCAATTTCTAGCAAAATTCTAACTTTTTTTTCAGAAATAGAAAAAAAATCTATCCTCTATTCATATGGAACTTCAAGGGGGCTTGGAATAGACAAAACAACATTTTGGGTCTTTCAACACTTGTGTATGTGTATGTACACATGCACACGCCCGCATGTGGAGTCAGAGGACAACTTGGAGGAGCTGGTGTTTCTCTTTTCACCGTGTACATTCTGGAGACCAAGCTCAGCTCATCAAGCTTAACGGCAAGCACCCTTACCTGCTGAGCCATTTTGCTGGCCCAAAATAACACTTTAAGAGAACAAATTTAGAAAGGAAAAGTGCACGTCTATGTCATTGGCAACTGCTACAGCAGGGAAAGGAGAGGCATGCAACAAAAGATTCCCCAAGTCATGCAGGCTAGAAAAAAACTGCTTTAGAAAGCAAATGTCAATGCAAGTTTGGCCCATTCTGTAGTTTCAGTGACCTGGAGGCATGACGTTTGGAACATTCTCCCAGAGGCAGAGTCCACATCACACTCTCCACTGTCTGGTCTACAGGGCAGTCCACATCAGACCTCCACTGTCTGGTCTATAGGTCATCTCAGGGCCACTGTTCTTCTGTGGCTGACTGGCTTCACTCTTCATAGCACAGGCTTTCCATACACATCCAGCTGAAACATCTCTATCCTCTGTAACTCCCTCATTCTTCCTGCACTTTGGTCACTCCAGTGCCACTCTTCTTAAGCTTCACCTTCCAATGAACCTGAGCTCTGGTTCCCTTTGGTGACCTAGAGCTGTGGTCTCCAACCATGAGCCATGCTCCACAGTCCTCCAGTGGTAGGTTGATGGTGGAGCAGATTGGAGGATGGAATTCTTCCTGATGGTGGGCAGTGGCTTCAGCCTTCTCTGAGTGGCTGCATTCCCTACAAATCCGCCCCCCCTGCCCCCAGTGTGCATGGCAATGGCTTTGCCTCTATGTTGGACTTATGCTGAGGACAGGGGAGGTTTCTGTCATTTGCAGTTTCTAGTCCTGAAAGGACTGATTCTCAGGTGGACTTCCCACCTCCCTTGATGGCCAGCTACGGTCACAACTCCACATGTGGCCCTGTGTTGGGGGACCCTGCTGCTAAGGTTGTAGTCCTCCATGTCCGGATAGCTCTAAGGGGCTCGGTGCTATATGGAAGGACTCCCCTTCTCAGCTGGGGCCTCCTGCTCTCCTGACCTACCTGGAAAGTGCCTCCAAGCATGGATGCCTGACCTTATTTGGAAAATGACCTTTGGCATAGTTACCTGCAATAAAACTACCCCCAGGTTTTTTCTATATGATAATTAGGCATTGCCCTATAGTCGGATGATAGGATCCCCCTACCACATGTAAATAAAGCATACTATGAGCACCTATCAGCTGAGGCTTTGGCTGCTGCCTCCACACTATATTTTCCCTGACCCCCACTGAATAACAGAGCTGTATCACTGAATCTGCCTCCCCGGAAAGCCTTTTTCTGTCGTGCTCACTGGCCGTCCTGACCCTGTTCGTCACTTCTGCCCCCTTTGTCCTCATGGACTGGTGGCCAACAACCCACGAGGGGAAGGAGAGACATCACAGTCCTGGACCCCCAGGCCTTGGTGTTGGACTTCTCCCAGTCCCAGGCACCAAGTTTTCCATTGGTTTTCTAAGACTCTTCTATAGCCCCAAGGCACCTTCTCCGATGCCCTACAGAATATGTAAAATGGAACTGAACTTCTGGATATAAAACCACAGTCTGGGAAGTTAAAAACATTTTTTTAAAAAGAAACTTCATCTTAGTTGACTATTCAGAGCAGATGTAGGACAACTTGGCAGCTATACATAAGCTGTATTAAATAAAGGGACAGGAAAACAAGAACTGTTGTATTCTAGTCATTGTGTAGAATTAAGACCATCTGAGGAGAGATCTGCAGTTAGAATAAAGTGCATAATCTAGTCAACAAAGTAGAAAGGGTCCAGGACAGCGGTCCTCAGCCCTATGTGTAGGTCAGAAAGAACCACCTGGGGACTTAAAACTCATGTGTGGACGCCACCCTGCAGATTTCCACATGACTGGCACCCTAACAGACTCTCGATCAGTCCTGAGAACGCGCAGCCAGAGATGACAATCACTAAGCTCTCCTCTAATCCTGCCAGGATGATGGCTAAATGTGCAGTCAGTTTATGAAAATGTTGAAAGAAGTAACTGAGAGCTTGCGTTCCCATAGTTAACGGCAGCACAGCCTGGAACGGAAAGCAGCAGGTGGAAGGCTGTTCACCTGCATGCTCTGCAGACACTGCTTCCTTTGTCCCAACAATTCTTTAGGTTCTGATAACACCAAGGCAGAAAGACCTTATCAATATAACCAGTCATCAGTAAATAACTCAAATATTATTGCTGTATAATACTTTTATTAAACAGTTTTATGGAAACAAACAAAGCCACGATTCTGTGTTACGTCATACAGTATTCAAGCATGTCAGAGTTCAGTGACAAATTACGTTTGGAGAAAAGCTTTAAAATCCTTACTTGGATCCTCTCCTTTTTGAATTATTGAAAAGCAGCTCTGCACTGTAGCACTGAAGGTTACAAAAAGCACCATTTAAAAGACTCACACATATTTAATTTTCTTCAAATTAAAGTCTTATCCCTGCTTTATAACAAACACAGAGCTGCACTCATCTGAAATGCTATAGTGTAATACCAACCAACATTCTCCAATTTACTCAAATACAAACATGTCGTAGCTAGGGTACCCGGTACAGAATTTTGAACAAATCAATGACTTTTGGCTGTCCTGAAAATAGTAAGCTGGGTAGGGTGCTCTACAGAGGGGAAGAGAGATGGCCAACACCTAACACAATAGTTACATAGGTATCCCCCTTGACCCTTTAACTTGATACCTGCAAAACCCATGATATTTAATACACCTAGCTTACTGAAAAGTACTGTGTAACACACAAGTCAAATGGACTCCAATTAATGTTGGAACACATTTTTACTTGTTAATGAAGATTACTCACTTCAAAGCACTAGTGAGAAAAACAAATGGAGATAAAGCCCAGATTAGAATCCTAGAGGGAGTCTACTTCTGATAATCACACTACAAGTAACAGACTTGAGATGTTTTTCTTCTTTTCTGTAACTGAATAAAGACCTGGCTTTTTACTCCAAATGCTTAGTTTATTTTTGGTTCATTGCCGAAATCGGTCCTTCAACCTCCAGTTGTGATTGGCACCTAAGGACAGACAAATGCTTAGACCCACAAAGCTCTGAAAAAGCATCACCACTGCCAGCTCTGCCAATCATGAGTAACTGGAGTCTGTAGCCCCTGACAGAAGACAGCAAGAACCTGGCTTTGAGGAGGAGTCGCAATGATAGAGGAACAAGTTATACATCTATCTGCTCTTATGCCCCAAATCGCTAGTGTGAGGGCAAAGACATCTCTGAGAAGAGAATGCACTCCAAACACACAGAAACACGATGATTGCATATCATTTTTAGTTGAGGTCAAAAACTGAAAAGCCCTGTCGCCCACTTTCACTGCACTTCACTTCAGCAGCATGCATGGAGGGTGGACACAGCAAAGGATTTCTCTCAGATTCATTAGATCCAAGAGACCAAAAACGAACAGAAGACAGTGGGCCTGGCTTATAGATTCCTCTCAGAAACTTCGCTAGGTTCTTCTCTTACACTTTCTTTACCATAGAAGCTTATGTAAAAGGCCCATACTACTGAGGCTAAACATGCCCTTCAGGGTGCTGCCTACAGTGGCTTATTAAATCCTATTCAAGTCTAAGTTTTCAGGAAGTTAACAACTGTGGTGTGAAAAGCTCTTCATACCGGTGAGATGACTAATCTGTGTTTCAGGCAATCTGTGACTTGACACTCTGGTAAAGTCAGTCTTGAAAATCAAGTTAAAAACAAAGTGCAGAGAAAAGGGTAGAGAATGGGAGAAAGAGGCAAAGGGGAAGACATTTTACATGCTGCTGAGTTTGTTTTACAAAGTGAGAGAGAAAGGATTGTATCTAGTTTTATTTTATTTTTTAAACAGGGTATTTTCAGTGCCAAGTTGATCCTTTGCTTCCATCACTCCTCAGCTCACTCGTCCCACACAACTCAAAATGTACATAATAAGGGTTTAAAGGTTAGCCCTCCTTAAAGGCTATTGTTTTATTTTACCAACAAACTACGCTTAAACTAAGTAATATGAAAGGACAAGTGAGCTGTCCTTTGAGCTACCTTCCTCCGCCTCCTCCAAAACTATTTCTTGGTGACAGCAGGACAGAGTTCCTCAGGGCCAAGTACTAGCAGGACAGGGAAGCAGCTGATGAGTCATCACCAGTTCCTCACACCTGTCCAGTCCACACCAGCTGGTAGGCTCCCATTTCAAGTCTGGCTGGGAGACTATCTTAAAACCGAGAAACTGACACTGCACATTTCCAGATTAGAAGACCTGTGGATAACCAGCACCAAACTCACTGCCATTGGAACCAGACCCAATTCACAAAAATCTCTGGCCTGAGAGACCGAAGACAGCTTTTCCTACCCATTCTACTGCTACACCTGTGGAGAGTAAAAAAATTAATACACAAACACAGATGATTCCACTTCAATACTGTTAAGAAATGTGAATATAACAAAATCCTCCATGAAACAACCAAGATTTTCAATCCTCCTGGGTGGCTCACTTCTACAATGGGCACTGAATAAAAACAAACTTCCACTACAACTGAAAATCCTGGAAGTTGGTTATGGTAAGATTTGGCCTAGGTTTTCAAAATGTCCACAGTTTAGAAGGTGGTCTGGACCGTAAAGGTTCTCCACGAAAGCCTTAGCTGAAGAAAAGGGGTTCCGGATAGTTGAAGCAGTGCTTAGTTTCACCAAGTAACTACCTGAGCATTCAGCAATCCGCACTCACTACAAAACAACCCCACCTCTTCCCACCTCACAGCTGGGACCAGAGAGGTCTTGGTAGCCAAAGAGACCTGCTGTGCCACCCACATGTGGGAATGGGAGGTAGCTCCGCTGCCAGACTGACCTGCAGGTCTCTTTCAGCGTGGCTGGGCTCATCTTGGCAGTCACGGAGTCTCTCAACCATCAACAGTTTGGCCTCCTTCCATGTTGAATGTTTGACTTGCATTTGTTTGCAAAATGGAAGAGCCAAGAGATCCGGAAATGGATTTTTTCTCTAAATCCCCAGTGGGCTGAGTACTTTTCAGTCAACCGGTAGTTAACTGGTGACCCCACTTTATCATCACACACACTTAAAAGGAAGAGATGGAAGAAAAGGTGATGATCTGGTTACTCTCTAGTGCAGACAACAGTGCTTTCCGTGGCCAGGGATACCAGGCTGCTTGGTCTTACTAACCCTTAAAGGAAATCTAGTATTGTGTGTCAAATGTGCCCCAAAGAACTGGTATCTAGAGCAAGTGCTTGGTGTAGCGATGGACACAGGGCTGGCCATATTAACCCAAGACTGTAGAATTCCCTACATTAGAGAAGAAAGTCTTAAGAAGCATTTGTCAAAAGCCTGAGGTTCTTCAAAACAGTCTGTGAAGACCAATGAAAATGCATTTTTTTTTTCCATTAAAGAAAGATGTAGGCACATAAAAATCTTCCAGGGTGAAAGATTGGAAGATTTCCCTGATCCCACACCTATCTGCAGAGCTGTCTGCTCTGAAAAATAAAAGCTGGCAGCAGAGCCAGGCCAAGTGGAAGACCAAGAAAGTGCCACACAGCCAAAACAGAGACCAAACGGACCCAGGAGTGCTTCCACATCTGGCCTCTCTTAAAATGCTGAGCCTCTTTTTTTCTTTAGAAGTTAATACAAGCTGTAACAAACTGGGCTAAAAAAGAGAGCTCTGGCAGCCCTAGTCTCTAAGATGAGACAGACGCCTCCCAGCTTTTCCAAGGGGTTCCTTACCCAGTGAGTTCTGCATTACTGGGTTGAATATGAGATCTGAAGGAGGTGATTAAAGAGAGTACATAAAATAAGAAAAAGGTTCTTGTGGGGCATTTAGTGTCACATGAAACACACAGTATATTGGGTCACATACTGTGGGAATACAGAGAATCCATGCAAGGAAAGCCACCCCGCAATGAGGCAGTTAGATATGGGGCAGCAGTCTAGCACACACCAGTCCCTTGGCGACCCAAGGTGCAGTGGCACAGCCTTGCCCAATAAGGATCCTAAGAGTTTGCTATGCTTTCATTTCAGGAAGAACACCTTCCTGTGTACTCACTCCTGCAGCTCCCCACACAGGTCTTGGGGAGTCCCCAAAGGCAGAGAATGTATAGAACTGGGGCTAGGTTTCCAGTAACCTTCCTCTCGTATGTATACAGATATTTTTTTTTCTCTTAAAGTAAACTCCATGAACTCATAAAGCTCTCATCTGCAATCAAATGCAAAAGCAGAGCCACTTGGAGGCTCTGAAACACACATAATAGCCTCAAAGCAAATCAACCTTCCAGCCTCTGATGAGACTGGTTCAGTTCAAAGGCAAGGGAGAAGCTTCTCTGGAATCCTCAGAGCCAAGAAGGGATGTCTTCTTCAGATAGGCTTGTAGAGCAGCGTGGTGACATACTTCTTCTTGTAGCGATGGGTGGCACTGAGGACCATCACACTGTCCTGCAAGGGAGAGAGGTGCACACAGCTAATTCGCTGACTTAGGTGACCAGCAGCTCCGCACAGCCACTGGCTCCTCAAAGTCCTTCTCACTGTCTTACTTATGTTCCTGTTGCTGTGATAAAATACTCTGACAGAAGCAGATTAAGAAAGAACAGTTCATCATGTCAGTGACATCAAGGAATCAGGAGCTTGAAGCAGCTGGTCACATTGTGTCCGCAGTTAGGGGAAGAGAGCTATGAAGGCAGGCTAGTGCTCAGATTGCTTTCCCCATTTTATGTAATGCAGGATATCCTGCCCAGAGAATGGTCCCATCCACAGTTGAGATGGATCTTCCACATCAATGACTGTATTCAATATAATTCTCATAGGGTTGCCCAGAGACTCGTCTCCTCAAACTGACAATTAACACTAACCAATACATTCACCATTTTTTTGTTTGTTTGTTTGTTTGTTTTGAGACAGGGTCTCCCTGGAGCCCCAGCTGGCCTGGAACTCACCATATAGACCAAGATGGCCTTGAATTCACAGACACCTTGCCTGCCTCAGCCTCTACAGTACTAGGATTAAAGGCATGTACCACCAGGTCCAGTTTAACTTTGTCTTCAATAGGTAAAGTATATTAAG